CCCCAAAACCCCAAAACCCCAAAACCCCTAGTTTTGCAAAATTTTTGAAAATTTAGAAGGAATGAATATGATATCACCAAAGAGAAGGTACTGCTTATGGGCCATGTGGACTATTACACTATTGGGCTCTTTGTTAAGAGGAAGAATCCAAGCCATTCTAAGAGCACTCTATATAGTGATTCAGACTATTTTTGTCTAGGCTGTTAAATTATTACTTTATAAACTAGTTTAGCCTGATTTTGTATAGTTTGATCGGAGCTTCACTTAAAAATCAGATGAATAGAACTAAGAGGGGCAAGATTTATCGGAAATCTTCCATATATCAAAATCAGGTTCAAAAAGCTTGATTACCTCACTTTGGAAGAAGTATGTTCCAGCTTAATACCATAGACCAGTACAGAGGTAGACTGATGACTCAGAGTAAGAGAGAACAAACTAAGAGTGATGGGAAAAGTTTTGACGATTATTCTTCCCCATCGCCACCTCCAATTCTCTCAAGAGGCTGTAAGGCTGATTAAATTTACTCTGTAGCACAATTTGTTCCTCACCATCAAGTAATTAACGCTACAAAGGCTAATATTGATAAATCTAAGTTCAGGCACCTCCAGAAATTTATTGGTATGAAATACCTTATCAAAATTTAGAAACAATTCAGTACAAGAAAGAGTATAAGCATGGAAATAGTTCCGTAAGGACCTCAAAAGTCCCTCTACAAGTAAAATTAATGCTAATCTGGCTAGAAAGAGCTTGACCGAGCGAGGATCTGCACCTCCAGTCAGACACAACAATCAGGTATTCTATTGGAGCCTGAGACTGAGGATACAGCTATTGAGAAAAGTGAATGCCTGGTCTATGAATCTTCTGAAAAACTTCCTTTAGCTAAAAAAGAGGGGGAAAAGAGCGATGATAGCTTTGATTTTGCACCTGTAACAGCTGTCCATTTCGAGACAAAGCCTAAGAAAGTACCTACAAATCATCTGCCCAAAAACTCTGGCCTCAGCAACAAGACTATGGATATCCAAGTAGTAACAAGGAGTAGGATGAGTAGAGTGAAACCAAATAATTTCAGCTTTAACAAAATCAGTAAGTATTCCCTCTTAGTCATTCTGATAAATTTTATTGAGAATGCTTCAGCTATTCTAGCTCATAAAAGTGCCAACTCATGTGAACACATCCGTATCTACAAGAAGTCTCCAGTCTTAAAACCAGATTCAAGGATTAGCCAAGCTAAAAGTCACAGCAAAAGGAGAAATAGAGTGTATATTAAAAATTTCAAGACAAAAAATTTATATCTGAGGTAAGATCTCAACCACAATATATAGAAATAGAGCTCAGAAGGTGAACTTTCAAAACATCGGCCTTCTGAACCAGCAGAGATCCTCCTCTTTAGCAGTTAGGATGAGAAATAAGTTACAAAAGAACAGGAATCAGGAAGCTTTAAATGCTGCTCTGAACCAGACAAAATATACATGCTCACTGTTTAAATTCAACCACTCTTTGATGTAGCCTAGATGGCGCTCTTGGTAGAGATTTCTGAGTGAGATTGTTATCAAGCCAACTTTGGAACTCTCCTTAATGAGTATGCAAGATTGAGTATAAGTTTCAATCTTACCTCAAATTTCGGGGTTTTGGGGTTTTGGGGTTTTGGGGTTTTGGGGTTTTGGGG